AGACTTCTTCTCTAGAATAGACACCAGTAGCATGGCAAACATTATGTAGAAGGGCACAGGTTTGTCAGACAAAAGGCTCTGATGTGACCTACAGAAGCTTAAATAGTCCCTTCTTTTCCAGGACCACAGGTGTCTGCAGAAGCTATCAAACCTACATGGCCAACCCCATAGACTGGTGAACTGTGTGTAAAATAGTGTGGTAAACTAAACCACTGAATGTAAGAGAAGGAACACTGGATTTGATATCTTGAAATATTCATGCATGTCTTGACAGCTCACTCCTAATTATTTTTAGCCAGAGTAACTCACCAGTTTGAAAGGGGGGAACTAACAGTATTAACAGAAAATTGTGCCACAATAGGTGAAGGCCTGAAAAACTAGCCAGCACCTCCACCATAGTTGTCCCTCTCCACGCAGAGCCGAAGTTGGTGGTTCCTTCGTTCCATGAGACTGTCAATCCAACTTTGATCCGTACAAATACTAGTGTTTCCAAACTGCGTTCTCCTAGAGATGCTTGGAAAGAGCTGGACCCGGCTCCCAACACACTCGTGTGGTTCAGGTGGAGGGTGCTCGGGGGAGAACTGCCCAGGTGAAGGTAGTGTGCAGCCACCTTTGAGAAGCAGACTTAACCTAAGGTGACCAGACGTCCCGCTTTTTAACAGTTTTTCCCGTGTCCTGCGGCGTTTTAAAAACCCGATTTTTGGAAAGAATGCACAAGCTAGGGTATACGGCTTTCGGCTGCCATGTGGCTAGTTCACCAAGATAGAGTTTTGTCAATGATGTCCCGCTTTACCAATGGTAAAATCTGGTCACCTTAACCTGAAGCGATGAGCTCAAAAAACGAGTGTATTCACGCCAATCTCGTTACTTCTGACTCATAGGGAACCCTATAGGGCAGAGTAGGACTCTAAGAATGTGCATCTCAGGAAACTAGAAAGCCTCACTTCCCTCTGGAGCTGCGGGTGGTTTTCAACTGCTGAGCTTCTTGTTAGCAGCCCAATTTTTAACCCACTACGCCAACAGTGCTCCTGAAACAATGTTCTACAACCCATGTAATTTGCAGAGTATATAAATTTGGTGACTACTTTTCCTTTTATGATGGATAAGATGATTAGATTTTCATTAAATAAAAAGATGGAGTAGGAAGGTCTATCTTGAGAAGACTGCTGTGAAGCTTACCACTTATGGTTTCACTTTTTAACATTTTGCTCTAAATGGTTTTATGCTTCTGTTTTGAAAACTGATATAGACTTTCAAGTTGTAAACCCATAGGAGGTGTTCCTACCGAGTTAGTGTTAAGGAAGAAAATTAGGGTGAGCCCTGCTGGCGTAGGTGGTTAGGCATTAGACTTCTAAACACAAAGGATAGTTTTGGGTGTTCAAAACCTGAAGTAGATGCAGGTCAACAGCACTTGGGTTTCTAAAAGCACTCGGCTACACAGCTTCCACAGGGTGAGCAGCTTATTCTCCCATTGAAAGTGGAATCACTGCATTGAGTTTCTAAAGAATATAATAGAATTTAATGATTGAGGGCAATGACTACAACAAAGGGGCTGAGTTACATACAGATGAATCAAATCTCCAAAGCCTTGGCAGTGCTGTGCGTGATTAGAAGCTTTAGAGAGGAGGTCGCTTTAGAGAGGAGGTCGCTTTAGAGAGAAGCAAATTCAGCTGGATATTCATAAGTTGGCCAGTAGGCAAGTAGAGAAAATCTATACTGGACACCACGTTTGGTTGTAATAACAATAGGCATGTATGAGATTGTCTAACAATTGTTAGTGATTAAAAAAAAAGTTAATACTTGCTATTATGCCAGGAACTGGCTATAAATTCTTCCGTCATTTAATCCTTACAACCCTGGGGTGGGGGTGGTGTGTGTCTGTGTCTGTCTGTCTCTTTCAGATACGGTTTAAAATATACTCTGTCCAAAAGGAGTATTGTGGGAGACCTTACAAATGAAACCAGTACATAAAAAAAAAAAAAGTGTCATAGCACATAGTGAGGATTTTGAAATCATAACTCAAATGGGATCGAGAAAGCTGAGTTTTCTTTGAGAATTTATTCTTTTAAATACCACGTAAGTTTATGGAAAAGGCAAAAGATAATAACCACTGCTGTAAAAAATCACAAGCAGACGTCATTGAACTGCTGTCATAGTACCTGATCATGGAGGCCACAGCAGCAGCAGGCTCAGCACTCCACAAGCTGGGAGGCTGATGGCTGCAGCCGCCGAGGGTGGACCCACCCTCACCTGATGGCCTCTCCCTGCTAGGTCACGGCTGTGAAACCCTCCGCACGGGTAGACCCACCCTCACCTGATGGCCTCTCCCTGCTAGGTCACGGCTGTGAAACCCTCCGCACGGGTAGACCCACCCTCACCTGATGGCCTCTCCCTGATAGGCCACGGCTGTGAAACCCTCAGCACAGGTTTACTCCGCACAGGATCGTCACCATGAGCGGAGATCAACTTGATGGCAATGAGCATGTGACCAAATATACCATTAATAGCAAGAAAACAGTACATTTCAGTTTATCTACATTTCTAAAAGATGTGAGAAAGACTTCTCTGTGGAGTAGAAAGCAGTAAAATGTGCAGCCAAGGGCCTATGTTTTGCATAAAATTAGGAAATTAATCCATCTGGTACCTCAAATTCCTATTTTGTAAAAGTAGTCAGTTTTTCACAAACAGTGCACCCACAGAAACATTGTATGTATACAGACACATGGGACATGACCAAAAACATGCTCAGGAGTGGGACTGTGCAGCTGGCAAGTAGTGTAATGCACACTTTTGCCTAAAAATAGTTCTTTTCCTTTCTCTCAATTATTAAATGTGGCCTGCTCGCTTAATTATAGTAAGTAGAATGTTACAGAGTACATGATTAATAATTAGGATGTAGTCACATCAGATATTTGGCAAGTGTTAATGAAAAGGAACCAACAGAAATACAATTTCTTCACAGAGCTGAGGAGGAGAAAAAGGATTTCTGTTATTTCTTACCTAAAATGTCTCCATACTGGCTTTTGAGTATTATAAATATCACCAGAGACTGAAACGCCAGATAAATTTTCATTTCTATATTTCAGAAAACCTACTTGAATACACTTTGAAACAAGAGTACAACAAAATAGAATATACTTCAAATGTTGAATATACAAACTATTATAGTTCAAATCTGAACACTGGTACTTTTCCCTCTTAAACTTCAACTAAAAAAAAAAAAGGAAAAAAGAAAACTCCAGGTTTGAGTGTTACCTGACAAAAATACATGCTGAGCCTGAACTTCCACGTGACAGAGGGACTGAACCTGCTGTCTGCACAGATGGCAGGGCTGAGTGAGTGACAGGCTGTTAACAGCAAAAGGCCAGAGCCAACTGTTAGATTTATCCACAATTAAGAAAACGACAGACTTAAACTACCATATAAAAATGTTACATGTAAATTCTATAACAATACTGTGCTAGGTACAAGATTTTTAAAATTTTTCTTTTAATAAAAAAAGCTTTACACAAACAAGCCATTAGCTTATTTCAAGAAAGAAAACCAAAAATTAGTCTAAGGCCTTTGTTTTAAATCAGCTGAAGCTATATGATATAAAAAAATCACACTAGATCTTTTTTGCTATCCTTTCTGAAGCTTTGGATCCATTCAATTCACATTCTAAAATACCTATATTAGCAGAGTCTTCACATAGCACCAGTTAAGTGAGTACTGTGCGAACACAGTAATGATTGCTGGTATGCATATATAAAATGCATCAAAAATTGCTATATGTAACAATGAGATCACCCATCCCAACCCATCCCCAATGAAAACTGTGTCGCCTCTTATGGATTTTTAGTGTTCCAAGTCTTAGTGTAACTTGATAGTGTAGTGAGCTGCTTGGTCCCTTGAGATCCTTCCTTATTGGCAGGTTCAGTTGTTTCCTACAGTAAGCGGCAGTTTTCTGTCAGCATCTCGGTATATAGTCCATTTCCCACGGAAACATGGGATGGGTGACTTCCAGTAAGTGTGATTGTTTTCGTTATATGCATTAGAAACGTTTTAAAGTCTTCTTTTGACTTTTCTTGATGTCTTCCTTGCAAGTATTCACTCAGCACTGTTTAACCAACCACTAACAGTCCGCGCAGAGCTGCTACTCTACTTCTCACATGTCACAAGTCCTTCTGTTTTCATAGTTACAGGAAGGGCAATGGCTGAAGGCGCACTGACAACCACCACGTGGGTCACTGTCTTGTTTCCATCTGCTGGCTTTTCGTCGTGTACCAGCTGCAAAGTTTTCACATCATGCTCCTGCTTTTTTGCCACAGCTTCTGATTTCACCTCTGGCCCTTTTATGACAGCACTGATAACTCGGGGAGGAGTGTGGCCAGATGCCTGCTGAGCAGGCACGGAGAGTCTCATGACTGGTGTACCATGGGCTAGTGACACAGGGGTAAGTGCTCTCACAGCCAAAGGGGTTCCGACAATGTTAATGCTCCCTGACCCAGTCAGATTGGACTTTGTCTGCAGTTGACACTGTGCAAGTTGTGCAGCTGGGATGGTGATGATTTTGGCAGGCTGCATGGTGATTTTGTCTCCGTTTTCAGCAGAGGTTGGCATCACAGTAGGGATTGTCTGAATGACGACCTTTGGAGAGGTGGCTGTTGGTGGGCTGGTGCTGGTTATCAGCGGTGCACCTGCATTGACTGACTGGACAGCCACAGTTGACATTTTCTGGCCCAGAGATGTCATTACGACGGGTACTTGCATTGCCACGCGAACTGTCCTAGTCGGGGGAAATAATAAATTGATGATATTTAAAACTATATTAGAAATGAGTCTCTTACAGCAAAAAAATAACTACAAAATGTTCAAAACTAGTGCTCCCAAATTTTAGACGTATTGATAATCCTTGACATTTGCATTGTACCATGAAATGTATAGAAACAAAAGCAGACATTATAAGCTTTCTGAAAAAACATGAAGACCAATTCAGACTAGTTAACTTTGGTGTTACCTTCACAGCACCAAAATGTACACTTTAAACACCAAACACTTAAACGCCAACATTCTTAAAATGCAACCAAATTCTTAAGCAGACATTTTTACAAGGAACACTCTAGACGGTGAAGACAATATTACCACTAGTGGTTTTGCCTCACCTTGGAGCTCCTGATGCTGGCACAGAAGCAGTAGTAGGAGGAGACCTGGACGAAGCATCTGGACCGGGGGAAGCGATGTTCACAACCCTAGCTGCCCCCTTCTCTGCTCTGGAGCAGTTTAGGGGAGATGGGTTTTTCCCACCACGTACGGAGGTTGCTGCTTTCAGGAGACTTTCTGCAGACAGCGACACTCGTTCTAATGATTTCTCATCAGTGGCTGCTGTTAAATCTTCATTACAGGCTTCACTTTTGTCATCATCTATAACCACGATGTTTTTGGGCATTTCTTTGAACTGATAGACAAGCCTCTGTCCTTCAACTTTTGCGAGAATTCCCCTTTGGTAGTAGTATCTGCCAAGGGAAACATTACTAAATGAACCACTTTCTTGTTTTGTTTTGAATATGAGTATGTTAATTTTTCTGTTGTAATCCTTATTTGGATAACCGAGCCAAAAGGTATTCAATATGTTCTATGCAGATTGTTGAAAAGCTAGGATGTTACTTGGAGGACCAACGTGCGTCTGACCTAAGTAAGCCATACTATTTTCAACTGTTTCGTATGCATGAAGGATCAATGAGTTTGAATTGTGGTGCTGGAAAAGAATATTGAAAGTACCACGGAATACCAGAATAAACAAATCTTATCTTGGGAGAAGTACAGCCAGAATGCTCCTTTGAGACAAGGATGGCAAGACCTTTTCATCTCATGTTACTTTAGACATGTTGTCAGGAGAGACCAGTCCCTGGAAAAGGCTATCATGCTTGGGAAAGAGAGAAGAAATGAAAAAGAGAAGACCCTCGACATTATGGACTGATATAATGGTTGCAATAATGAGCTCACACAAGAACAACTGTGAGGACGGCACAAGATGCAGTGTTTGCTTCTGCTGTACATGGAGTTGCTAACGAGTCGGAAGCTACTAGACCAGCACTAACAACATGCACAAGAGCAAAAACAATAACTAGTCTTAAACCTTACATCCTTAAAGTCCAGTGGAGCCCAACCACACATTTCAACTTCCTAGAAATTTTAGGAAGATGAAAGGACAAGGGGAAAAAAATGTTTCCTCTCCTCAAGTTACATGGGAAAATTGAATTGTGAATGCATCTTTAGAATAATAAATTGTACGTTGCTCAATCCAGGCTTAAAAATTATGTCTATAAATATTTCTGCAATAAGATGGGTGCAGGAGCAAATAGGGTGAAGAAAGCTGATGGTGCCCAGCTATCAAAAGATATAGCATTTGAGGACCCCTGCTCTAGTTCATTGGTGCTTCCTTCACCCCACTATCATGACCTCAATTCTTCCTTACAAATCGGATTAGACCAGAACATGCACACTGCTACACATAAGAGCCCGAAACACGGAATCCAGGATAGATAAACCCCTCAGGGCCAACAAGGAGAGTAGAGATACCAGGAGGATTAGGGGAGGGTGGGGGGAGAAAGGGGCAATCAATCACAAGGATCAACCAAGAACTCCCTCCCAGGGGGAGGGATAACGGAAAGGTGGGTGAGGGGCAACAGAGGATGATATAAGATGTGGAAAAAATAATCTATAACTGATCAAGGGTTCATGAAGGAGGGAGAACAAATGGGGAGCTGCTTTGAAAACGATGGTGGCATGTGTAAATATGCTTGACACCTTGGGACAGGGGTCCTCAAGCTTTTTAAACAGGGAGCCAGTTCACTGTCCCTCAGACCCGTTGGAGGGCCGGACTACAGTTTAAAAAAAAAACTATGAACAAATTCATATGCACACTGCACATATCTTATTTTGAAGTAAAAAAACAAACAGGGCAAAAACACCTGGCGGGCCAGATAAATGTCTTCAGCAGGCCGCATGTGTTTGAGGACGCCTGCATAGGGGGAGTGTATGGATTGGGATTAAGAGATGTAAGAGCCCCCAATAAAAGTATGTAAGAAGAAAAAAAAACACAATACCATTTACAGTGGGCACACAAAAAATGAAATAAACCTAAAGAAACAAGCAAACAAAATCTGGAATTATAGATCTTATCCTATCAAATAAAAGGCCATGTCGACACTCACAAACACTCACATTCCTGTAAAGGATGAGAAAGGAACTCTGTTAGCTGCTCAAAAGGGTAAAGAATTGGAACAGGAATGAAACTGGAAGCTTAGAATCTTAAGAATCTTAGAAACTTAAAATCTATACAGTATATCCTCTTTGTTAAAGGAAGTAATTTAGCTAGAGTATTTAATTTTATTTTACTGACATTGGCAGAGTATCAATTGAGTCATACAATTATAAAAACAATCTCCTTTTATATGGAAATAATACCCCAAGCTATACTTAGTAGACATGACGGAGATATGAGAATACTGTCACACAAAGTGAGTTCATTTACATCTTTTTCTTAAGAAAAGACATTACAAGAATTTTATGCATTTTCAAACTAAAAAATTTCCTATCAATTAAAATACACTTAAACTTGTAATAACTATAAAGCAAATAAGAAATGTGCAAATACTTTTCGTTTGAGTTTGATTGTTTTCAAAGGCCTACAACTGACTTAGTCCTAAATGGGGTTCAGAGGGGTGGGGAGGCACAAGGAGGTATTTGCAATGATGTTGAAATTTAAACATCTAGGCCAATTCCACTCTACTTTTTACCTCCAAATCCAACAAGCAACTCAAACATCCCTCAACTCACTGCCATCGAGTCAATTCTGACTTCTAGCCACCCTGAAGGACAAAGCAGAACTACAGGACCAGGCACTTTCCTCTTTCTCCCTTGGAGCGGATGGTGGGTTTGAACCTCTCCTTGCAACCCCATTCCACCACCAGGGCTCCTCTCGAAAAGTTGGAGATTAATAAATGTGGATTTTTATAGCTTCTATACAAATAGCTAATAAATACTAAGTGTTATGGTTATATAAGTCTGGTTCGATTACTAGCGCGTTTGTGTTCTTACCTCAAAGCTCTCCCCATAGTTTCATAGTTCATGTCTGGCTTGTTCTTATGCTTTCCCCAAAGCTTGGAGACAGCCTTTGAATCCACAAGCTTGAAGATGCCTTTTTCTCTCTGAGTCCACTTAATATACCGAGGACAAGTATTTTTATCTTGAAGGAGATCTAAAAGAAACTCCCACAAATAGATTGTGTTTCCTTTAAAAACAAAGACAACACAATGAGAGAAATTGATCAAAATTTACCAACATGATTAAAAGCAAACATTTAATTATGCTAAGAGCCATCCATTTCATACTGGTGAAACACAATAAGCGGTTTGCTAAGTACTTCTTCACTGTATCATAATCTGCCATACACTCTTCACTAAAAGACAAAGTATCTTTAAATGTTTTAATATAATTCTAAGTACACTTGTTTGTAGTTTTCATTAAACAGTAGCTCAACGTAGTTGAACAGGCAAAAATTTTGTGATCGATATGAAGAGACTCCCAAAAGTTCATGGAACAGTAGAATGGAAAGACAACACGTTTTCTGAAGCGTTTGAAGCCCCCAGTACGAAGGGTAAGGCAGAAAAGGGTTACCATGTGGGTTCTGTGGCAGACGCACACAGGTACAATTCCAAATCAGATGTACTTAATTTCCTCCGCTCAATGGACGACTGCACTGTTCTCAGTAATACACTCCAAATCTCATTGGCGCGTGCGCGCGCACACACACACACACACACACACACACACTCCCTCCCTCCAATCAAAACAGTGACTCCCACCCTGTAAAAGGAGAAGGGGGAAAAATTGGGGTGAAGGGGTTGGAAAGGAAGCTATTGGGAGATTTTGATAAGTTTAAGTTGCAGAATACAAAAATGATGGTCTGAAAAGTAAAACTCCATCTAATTAACAATAAAAATTTTTAAATAAATAAATTGAACATCAACTCCCAAGGGGATCTGCTTTGCCAGGTAAACTCAAGGCAGTGATCAGCTCAGGTTATAACAACTATGTTCTGGGATTCCAAAAATCGAGAGATTTTCTCATAGGACAAAGAACAGTCATTGGGGACTTAGAAAAAGATCCTGACAACGGCATGGTAACACTACAACTGTGACTCTTGTACAGATGAATTTTCTCCAACGTGACAAGGCACCTGAAGGCAGCAGGACTGTCCAATGAGAATTGTATCGAGACACCTCACCCCATTCACCCCATAAGTCCTCTTCTTGCCCCCTCAGACTTCATTTTCAAAACATTTCCTTTCTACTTAAGCCTTTGGTATCAGCTTCTCAATTTTCCCCCCTCCCTCCCCTCCCCTACCACCTGGATTCTTAAACCCAATTAGTTAACTCAACTAGTAATCGCTGTCTGCTTTGAGAAGTGTGCTTTTTAAAGATGTATCTATACACAAAGGATTCATGGAAAATGAAATGGAAAGGTAATGAAGCTTTCTAGAAACATTTTGAAGCACCTGCTTCAGACTTCTGATTCACATACAGTGAGTTCTGAGGTATGTGTCTTTACAGTGTAAGTGACATATAACTATTTAAGTATTCTATCATTATCCTCTGGTTCAAGATGAAAGCACTACCTTTAGAAGTGCACAGACCTAGATGGAGGTGATATTGAAAAATAAGAGCTTACCAGTGTGATGCTTTTGTTGCAATACTTTTTGACTTACCTTTAATTACAACTATGATACACACACAACATAGATAAGAACCAAATACCTCATGGGATCTGGTTGAGTTGCAGATCAGTCACTGTTTCATAGGACATCCCAGTTACTGGCCTAATAACATACTCAGTGCTTCAGTCCTACCACCTAGTTCATTGGGTGAGGCTGAAGTCTTGAAAGCTTGCAGTTTGGCCATCCAAGGCAAAAAAATTGATCTATCTTTACATGGATCAATAGAGGAAGGAAAGTCAAGTGGAGGAGGAGCAAATGGAATTGTGTGCATAACTGCCTCCATGAGCAACTACCTACTTTTCCACAAGACCAGAAGAACCGAGGCTGCCTATTGAACATTTTGATCAACGATTCTGTAGCGGGATATGCAGAACAGACTGTCAAAATCTCATAATCGGGCTTGATGAGCTCCTAATGCCTTGGAAGGTGGCTAGGAGTTGCACTGAAGGAAAGGAAGGGATCTGGGCAGATAAAATACGGAGCTTTATCACAAAAGGAAGCAAGCAACACTTTTTTTCCTTCAGAAGGGGGAAGAGTAATGGGCAGTCATGGGAAGAACAGGTTTTCAAACGGCTAGGTTTTTATTTACTGTGAAGTCTTCAGGAGCAGAGGTTCTCAAATTGATGGAAGGAAAGAAACGAATCCTGAAAAAAAGAATGTATATGCCACCACTGAGGCTCTAGTTCACCCAGCAGAAACTCCGGTGAGGCCATTACTATCCTCAAGTCCAGATCCAGGGGAAGCTCCCAGAGCAAGTCCCCCCAGTCCCCTCCACCCTAGACACTGACATTCCTCCTCTGGCACATCGTTTTAAAAAGAAAGGTGCATCTCGTGACCTAAAGAGGCAGTATCTTCAACTTCACAATTGTTACATTCCTATGTCTGAAGCACAATTACAAGATCACCACCACGACCTAGAAACTCTTTTTAACTATTAAACCCCACAAGCTTCAAATTCCTCTAACTGTAGCTGAGGGCATTTTAATTTTGTTTACAATCAGGTGACCCAAATGATTAAGCATTTTGACTAAGAGTGGAAAGGTGGCTGGTTCAACCCCATTCAGAGGACCCTCAAAGAACGCAGGTCTGGCAATTTGCTTTTGAAAGCCCTATGGAGTGTAGTAGTAACTGACTCTAAATGGTGTTTCTTTCTAATATTTACTACCGCTAGGGAAACTAACAGGTGACTACAAAAAGGGTGAGTAGAGAACCTTGTGTGGAAGAAATTTTTGTACATCCTAAAACAATGTCTTTCTTCTATGTAGTAGGAATCCGTAACTTCTGTGTTTGTTGAATTAGTCATCGATATTCCTCAGGTTATCCTTAAATATTTAATTGTAGATTAGCAATTTTATTTCTGACAACCTTATCACCTTCAAAGTACTCTCCATTACACGTAATATTATTTGTCAAATCTAGGATTCCATTCTTGGGAACATCGCCTCCCTCGTTTTTTCTTCACATCACTGTCCTTTCATATCCCTCTTCAATCACGGAAACAGGAAGTCGCAGGGAGTGAGTTCAGGTGAGTAAGGAGCTTGGGGCAAGATAGGCATGGTGTTTTTTGCCCAAAAAATGGCGCACTGAGATGACTATGTGAGCAGGTGCTTTGTCATAGTGGCAAAACCAGTTCCCTCTCTGCTACAAATCCTTTTTTGTTGCACACTGTTATACAATCTTTTCAAAGCCTCTAAGTGAATGCTTGATTAACAGTCTGACCTAGTGGAACAACCTCCAAATGCACTACGGGTAGACACTTTTGTCTGGTTGGGAAGCTGACGGAGGTCTACAGCTAGGTTTGTCATCAATTAACATTTTACCTTTTTTGAAACAAGAACACCACTCATACACTTTAATTTTTCCCACAGCACTGCCCTTGTAAACTATGTTCAACATCACAACAGTTTCTGCAGCATTTTTCCCTGAGTAGGAAAATAAAATTTCATAGCCATATCCCACCACAAAAATTGGCCATCACAAAAAATAAGGTTAGAGCAAAACTGCTTTTACAAAAAAATTCATTGTGACCAGAGAGAACCTTCCCAGGTGACGCCACTGGGTGCACTAACTCAGAGCAAGTTGGTGGATGATCGCCTAGCAGCAAAATCGCACACTATGAAATCTCCACCCAGCAGAGCTTTTTTCCGTTGTTGGTTTTTTTTGGGGGTGGGGGGCCCTACCCCCTTGTATATTTACTCTTCACACTATGATTGGTTTAATAGCGTAGCATTCAGTGCCAGGCCAAAGTACAAGAGATACCACTGGGGATAGAAATTCTTAAAACACAAAACCCGTAACAGTAATAATTAACTTATTTATAATTTCTCTTTCTAATATTTACTACTCCATTACAATGTAAGTTCTCAATATAAGCTGAAAAAGAACACCTAAGATAGACAAAACAGGCTACACAAGGAAAGTAGTCTAATAATCAGTTCCTGAATAATAATTAAATGTAACTGAATTTGTTGTTGTAACTCAATCCCAAGTTCCTTGATGGGCTAATTAGAGACTTGTTTTTCACTAGAGATTTAATGTGTGCTTTTCATTTAATGACAGCATACATTTTTAGCTTTTAGTCCAAAATGTATCTAACCATTTAGTGCTAGTCTCAAGATATGGAAGTGACTTTTTTCTTGTTATTGTATTATCAGATTGAAAAGTTACTTGACAACAACTCACTCAACAAAGAAGACAGTACAGAATGGGAGATGGAGGCTTGTTGCTGCTTTGGTTTTAAATATCTTAAATTTAGAATATATAAATCCTAAAGCCGAAATAGTGTACATTTTGTTCTGACTTCTGATTGGTTATTTGTTGACCAGGGAATTAACTTCAGTTCAGCTTGCTTTTAATCTTGCACTGCTTCAATCTATTAAGATATTAAGAATCAAAAACACACCTCAGTTGTAAATCTCCTTTCATTCTAAGGGACTGTGGAGATAAGGGCTATACATCCCACCCATTAAGAATGCTGGGTGTTGCAGCATCAGGACTGCCCTGCCCTTAGGACCTTTTCGAAATACAAAATGTATATGCACTGTTGTTGAACGGAAAACTGATTTGCTCTGTACACCTTCACCAGTTCAAAACCACAAATGCCATGCCCTCCTTGTTCTATGACTTATAGAATCTCCGTGGGTTAGGACCTAGGCATCTTTTTTTTTAAGTTCCCAAGTAATGCAGGTACTTGTCCTGATTAAAAACTACTTCCAGAGAGAGAGTACTACCATACACTAGAAATTATTTTCTTACAACTGTCACCTGACTGAAAAAGAAAATTCCACCTCGAAAATAGCCCTCCCCACCAAATTACCTTTTCCTTCTCTGGGTTTCTTCTTTATACCCAATTCAGGAGACCCATTGGAAATTGGTGATGGCTGGGCCTTTGGTTTACGGCCAACTGAAAAAAAATTAAGACACTGAAAACAGGAATAATAGTAGAAGCATGATACACATCACTCAAGAACTGGGCATTAATCTGTGGATCAATACAGTGTTTGACAATGCCTTCTAAAGGAGAATAAGCTTCTGCCAATCTTAAGAGTACAGCAGTTAGTGAGATGCCACTGACCTATTAATTGCTTCATGCAACAATGGAAACACATACTACTATGAAGTTTTTGTTTCTGTCCTACAAGATTATTAGAAACAGCTTTACTTATAATTTGGAAAACACTTTGAAACTTTTATCTTCATATGAAAATTGATCTTCAGTCTGTAGCAAGATTAACATCTTCACCAACTCTGAAACAGAGTAAAAACTCCAGCTTCCTCTCAAAAGGGGATTTCCCAAATCACGATCCTTGATACAATGATAGACTATAGATCAACAGGAAAAAGGAGCCATAGTCAAATTAGTTTAAGAACTGTACATGTTGTCCTCTCTTAAAGATTCTCAATATATATTATCCAAAGCCCACTCCCAATGAGTGGATTAGAACTACTACCTACCTAGGCTTTCCAGGGCTGCAGATCTTTTTTTTTAACATCAGAATGGGCTTTTATTGGCTGATAGAAACCATTACTTTCAATCTTAAATAATCAGAGGTGGCAGGGAGGTGAATGAGTGGTATCTCGCTAGTCTATATTTAAATGCACAGCATCCTTTTATTTACATTAAAGGTCCTATTGAAAACAGACTGGCCTACAGTGGATTATACTTGATATTATCCTTCAGTTCAAATGAGGACCTAATGCTGGGGGCTTAAGTGGAGAGGAAATGTTTTGAGAATGATGAGGGCAATGAATGTACAAATGCGCTTCACACAATTGATGCGTGCATGGATCGCGACAAGAGTTGTATGAGCTCCTAATAAAATGATTAAAAAAACAGTAAGAAACTTAATAATATTCTTTTTTTTTCTTTTAAACATTTTATTAGGGGCTCATACAACTGTTATCGCAATCCATACACACATCAATTGTGTAAAGCGCATTTGTACATCATTCTCAAAACATTTTCTCTCCACCCAAACCCCCAACATTAGGTCCTCATTTTTCCCCTCCCTCCCCGCTCCCCCCTCCCTCATGAGCCCTTGATAGTTTATAAATTGGCATTTTGTCATATCTTGCCCTGTCCGACGTCTCCCTTCACCCACTTTTCAGTTGTCTGTCCCCCAGGGAGGAGGTCACATATAGTTCCTTGTAATCGGTTCCAACGGCCTCATCTTTCTCCTGTAAGGTGGCAGGTGGGTTTGAATGGCTGACCCTTGTGGTTAGCAGTCCAAAGGTAACCCATTGCATCATCAGGATCAACAATGTTATTTAAATACAGCCTATTTAACTTCCTATGTTTCCTAATGTATTTCACTGTGAAAGTCTTTTTAACACAAATAATGGTGTTATAAACTTTTAAGATTAAGAATTTTCAAACTGATAAAATTAGCATTAAATGGGCAAATCTTTGTCCTGTTTATATATTATAACACACTGGCTACTTATCTAGGGGTCTGATCCCCTAATTGACTCTTGCTTTTCAAGGTATTTCCTCTTTCCCGCCACCCCCCCCCACACACACACACATTGTTTTTATTTTTTTTTTCTTCTAATAGCAAAGAATTTTACAGGGAAAACAGAAAAAACAATTTCCATCTTACTTTAAATGTAAAAATAAAAAGTACTTTATACTATCCCACTGGATGCACCCAGCCACAGGCTACCTCAAGCAAGGGCACCTTTACAGCAGGAAAGAATCCTTCTAAATTCTTTCATTCAGTGCCTCTCGCAAAATACAGATAAACCCTAGGTATTATGTGAGGGAAGGGATTCGTCTCTTAATCTTCACTGTATCCACCACCACTCCCACCCAGAACCCTGTATCCTACAGGAATTCAAACCCTGTCTAATGGATGAAAAAATGTTATTTCTCACACAGAAGTTCTCTTATTTTGGCCCTCACCCCCCACAAGTCCAGCCCCCACGAGACACTCAAGATTTCCTTTCTTTCTAGTTTTACCTCAATTCTAAGGAAAAGGGCTACTTACTGCCCACCCATCTCCTAGTGACCTCAGAGATGTGCTGGGGCCTCATGTGAAACCCACAGGTCAGAAGTTTCTGCAGGAGTCAATCGATTAGAATGTGTGTGTGTCTTACTTCTCCACTGCCGAGCTGAATTAGTCAACTCTCAGGGAGATGGACTGACACTGTGGCTCCAACGACAGGCTCAAACATAGTACACGGGACTGGACAGTGTTTCGTTCTGTTGCGTTTTAGGTTGCTATGGACTAGAACTGACTTGATGGTAAAAAACAACTACTACCTGTGACAGGGAAGTTTACTCCACTTAGCGGTCTCTTGGCAATCCAGGTATTTCAAAGTGGACGGTATACATTGAAAATAACCTTGTGTTTGGCCTTTCTTCTCTTTTAAACTACCCACAAAGATGGAGAAACAATGCTATAAAAACTGAAGAAGATAAGTTTTTCGAAAGGTATGAAGAAAAACTAGGACAAATGTACAAACCATCCTGGATCTCCCTTTTGTATGCCTAATTAATATCTGCTAAAATCTCATTTTCATCCAAGCACTTCAAGTGCTCAAACACTACTTCTTGAATCAATATGAAGCATATTAAACAGAAACCTCTGTTTATCCTTTGAGATTATCTAGTTAAGATGAAATGAAATCAACCTACAATCTGTACTACATAGATTGTTTCTATTTCCCTTGATGGGGGCAAAACCCAGGAACAACACTTCAGAAACATGAAACTCTCACCTTTTTTCTTCTTCATCGGCTCATGGCTGTCCGGTGACGTGGGAATAGGAGAGGTATCCATTGGTTCGGACTCTTCCGTTGACACCTCCACTACTGTTTCTGTAATGACATCTGGCCTCATAGCAGCATGGATAAATTCTGGAGTTGATACAGAAGGAGGAACAAACACTTCCACTATAAAAAATTTTTTGAAAAATTAAAATTTCCACCCCCATTAATTATTTCCTATGTGGGCAATTCAAGTGGGAAAGCTTATTAGTAAGAACTACTCAAAGCCGGATAAGCACTTAATACTAAAAGCGTTAACTTGCTGAAGATGATATAAAGATAAGGAAATAGATGCAAATGATCCTCTGAATAAGGCTAGGATCACAAGCAGTGGGGCCTTCAGGCCTTTATTCACACTTTTACCTGCTTTAAAGCTCATGGTAGAATTTTGACAATTGGGAAATTATGAGGGAGAAAAATCAATAGTATCATAAATGGACAAAAAAGAAAGGCATCAAAAATCTACTTTTAAAATGTCCGCCAACAAGACCCCTACGGACCCTACAGACCCAACTGATCATGGAGATGGCACAGACCCCAGCAGTGTGGTGTGCATGGGGGTCTCCATGAGTCAGGGGCCAACTGGATTCAGTGGCAGCTAACAAGAGCCCACCCCACCACATACAATAAGGCCCAGCTTCCTTTCCGTATGTCTGAAAAATCAGGATATGCTACTCTAGTTCAATTATAAGGTGCAGTCAATACGTAGTTATTTGCCACGGCCATCGAGTCAACTCTGACTCACAGCAACCCTCCAGGGCAAAAGAGAACGAGCTGCACCTGTGGCTTTCCAGGAGAGTAAGTCTTACAGCATTAGAAAGCCTTGTCTTTCTCCCTGGAAGCAGCTTTGTAATTTGCTACAACTGAAATATTGACCAATAATGTCCTATTTTTATTCTCATGAGATTCCTATTCCGAGTAAAAAAACATGGTTACTCTTAGCAATTATTAGAAATCCCTGTGAGAAGTGGACCAATCTCACTGTAGCAAGTCAAATTAGCATTGAATATTACCAGTAAAAAATGGCAAAATGACTAGCAAGGGTCATCAAAGAAAAAGGAGTTGGGGTTTTTGTTTCCGTCTTTAGTTTGCTTTTATTTGTCTGTCTCTTGTTTTCTGCTACTTGGTTTGTTGTTGTTGGGGTAGTTGGTCTTATGGGGTTTTGAATTTGTTATAATACGACTGAGTCATGTATATCCCAGGAACAAGCAGAGGGATCATGGGACCCCCACTGAACTCTAGCCCCAATACGAGAAGTTAGTTCTGATAACATGGCCCTGCTGGGATACTCGCCTTCACGAAATAAATGATCACTGAAGATAAGGGAACTACAGCAAAATGTGGTGAAGAAGGCTATCCATCGGAATAGTATCTGGGGTCTTAAAGGCTTGTATTCAAACAAGCAGCCATCTAAGCAAGGAGTCAACTAAGCCAACATGGAAGAAGCACACCAGCAGCTTGTGTGATCAAAAAACGACAATAACAAAATTCAAATATAGCAAAGGTTAACGTATCAGAGCTTAAATTGCGAACACCCAGTTTGTAGAAGGCTATGGAGGACAGTGGGAGCCCAAAACCCATCTGGCAGAGTATCTAGCCTGATTAAGCCGCTGGGAGATGCCCCTCTAATCACAGGCAAGGGTCTCAAGCAGTGTTACTATCATTGTAATCATGATTATACTGGAACAGACTTGACACTTAGTTGGCTGACTTGCCTCTTGACCCAATCTGAAATTCTCCTAGATGCAAGGATTTGCTTGTTCCATGACAAAAATTTCTTCCCTGGCCTTTTAAATATTCACAGAGGCCTTTTCCTTCTTACTCACTGTTTTTACTTTTATCTCTGTATTATTATTATTCTATCCTTACCACTTTATTTTGTTGTTTTTTTGTTTGTGTTGGGTTTTCCAGTTTGCAAAGCACAGTAGAGGCATAGAGACAAGAACTGATGCAAGGGGGAGTTAGGGGTAAAAGTGGTGGTGGGAGATAGAGAGGGTGAAGGGGTTTGTTATAGTATATATAGAATATGTTATCTATATAGAGAGGGTGTGACATATCCATATATATAGATAACAAAATCTATATATAGTTTGTTATCTATATACAGAGGGTGAAGATAGCAAGCAATGTATGTGGGAGGGTACACTCACTAAATTGATCATACAACTCATTTTAAAAGTCATTTAACCATGGGAAGGGGGGCATAGAGAAAATGTTGTAAAAGGGATTGTGGTAATGATTGTACAACTCTTCTTGATATGATTAAGCTATTGAATTGTGTGATATGTGGATTAAGTGCCAATAAAACTGTTAAAAAAAGAAAAGGAGATAAAAGTGTGTGTGTGTGTGTGTGTGTGTTCCGAGGTTGAACGGTGTGTAAAGAAAATGGTAGAAGCCAAGTCCTCCAATCGTCCATGGGCAGTTCCTTGAGTTACGACTTATGTATCCCTGACTGAATGGCTGAACGTCGCCCCGGGAGCCCACTGCCCCAATCTGCCCTACTCTCAAGGATGACAGGGGTTTACAATTTACCTAAGTCCAAGAGAGATGATATTCTAAGTAGCAATTTAACAATCATTTGTCTATAGTGGCATTTTCTGTATCATTTATTATTAAAATTTTAAAAATATATTAAAAATTTAAAAATCGTTATTGCTTTCAAATCTTCACCTATAATAGACTTGAGAACTCTGTCAAGCCCTTCTTTTCATTCAAAAAACAACACTTGTTCCTGACATAGGAAGCTATGTCACATGTCTAATATAAAAATGAATGTTCACAGACCAGGACTTCTTGAATCCCTCAGGCAGGTCGGAGACTCCATATGAAGCAGGGCTTCCGCAGCTTCAATCGTCTTGTCCATGCAGTGTGCATTGCTGCTGTGCACTGATGCTTCCACTGGGGAAGAAAAAGTTCTAACTCAGTTAAAAAAAGAACCATCAAGTACCTTTACATTCACTACTAAACACATTACGAAAGAAAGCACATTACCGACAGTGAAATATAAATTCACACTCATGTGGACAACTCTAAGAAAGTTATTGATCTCTGTCAGTATATAAGTTATTTACAGAAGCAACTGAAAAATCAAAACAAGCTAATTCCTATATTTTATAAAACAAGGTTGGTTATAGAACGACTAACAGCGATTAATTAGCAACTCCTGAGAAGTTTCTAAATCATATCTAAAAGGAAAACAATGAAGCCCTTGAAATTTAAACCGTTTTCAACTTTAGGCCCTAACTAACTTGGGGTGTGCAAGCATGGCCCTCCTATGAAATCAATTGTGTTATGTACCTAGCAGAGTTGTATCTCTAAGTAAATTAATCCATATTTTTGTTAAACTCTTGCAGACTTTCCCAGGTGAGTGAACACCCTCCTCTAGACACCCGGAGGTAACAAACAGTGTGTGTGTTAGCCTTAGCAAAGAGTCCTGGTAGCGTAGTTGGGCTGTTAGCTGCCAGGTCAGCAGTTTGAACCTCGCACCCCTTCGTGGAACAAAGACGAGGCTCTCCGTACTGGTAAAAGATTTATAGCCTTGGAAAGGCAAAGGGGCAGTTCTCCTGTATCCTCCAGGGTCACCGTGAGTGGGAACGGACTTGCCGGCACTGAGTATTAACTTGACCACCCAAGCACGGGGAACTTCCCCAACAGTCACCGACCGGGTCCTCCCCTTTCTTCAGGACCCCCCTGGTCTTCTCACAGGAATTTTATCTTGTTAAGTTTCCACGCCTTGTTCTTTCAGGGAACCTTTTCTCATTTACCACTCTTCTTATCGCTTCTTACTGATCTTTGCTAATCAAGGTACTTGTGAAACAGTAACTGTGCCTGCTGCAGTAGTCTATCTGGGCTTTCAAGGCCCACACTGGGGCTCTAGCCATGTATCAAATCAAGCTTAAGCCTTAATTTCCTTAAAAACAAAAACAAAATAAGACTACATGCAAAAAGTTATTGGAAAAACCCACATTATCGTTAAATTCAATTTTTCCACAAACTCCTTGAATCCTCATGAGAATTAAAAGTATAATGATCCCACAAAACATATCATCAGTATCTGGTATGTGAGCCCTATACTGACTTGGCGGCAGATTTGGTTTAGTTTAGCTTATAGATTAGAACTCAACATATGCCAACAATTTATTTTAACACACCTATAACATTATAAATTCCCTAAGCCCCAAGAAGCTATTTTAACTCATCTTTATGCATGCATGAACAATAGACACACAGAATTTTCTTTTATGTATTGAATTTAAGGAAAACCCACTGACCTTTCAAGAAAATCAACAATCAGAGCATAAACCTATTATTCCTGATGACACATTAAACCCTATATTCAGACTTAAAATAATGAAGTCTCTTACAAAAATAGGCAATGATTTCCAAGTTGATTAATTTGCCTAATAAAGTTCCCTAAAATAACTTAAAGGAAGGTATCTATAGCAATTTCATAAAAAAAAAAAAAAAAAAACTTTATTATAGGCTCCCAAGTTCAACATATTAAAAATATGGATCCTTCTCACATACTTCAGGGAAACTTTGAAAAATCCCTCTTATAGTCTCAAAATGCTCAAACACTAAAGCCTCAATCTTATACCTCAGTCATTTAGAGGATTTATAAAAATCCAGTGACTATTTTACCACCTGTTGCACATCATCCACACTCTCACTAAGGTACTGGGTCGCTTTCCAGTTGGTCTTTCCATTTATGGACATCTGCTCAAAGCTAAATAGTTCCAGAGAGGCAGCCAAACCTCTAAGTAAATCTATCTTTAGGTGACCCTGCTTACTCTTTATCTGCAGCTTCACCGAAGCAAAAGGACTCAATCAGTCCTACTAGCGAAACTTTCAGAAACTTCAGAATAAATAAATGACTACTTACAAGTATTTCCCCCCAACAGGACCTCCTCCTCCTCCTCCTCCCTACAGTACTCACATGCACCAAAGAACCTTTGCAAACAAATGCTCAGGTTTTGAAATTTTATACTAGGATTTTCATGCTCTTTAAAGTCAGCTTAGGTTGCAATTTAGCTGTTATCTTACATGCTATTAATAAACCATCCTGCGTAAAGTAATTCCTTAAATAATTGTATTAAGACACACTCTAGAAACTGTTATACGCAAATCAGATCTTCAAGTAATAGCAATAGAATTTTATCAGATTTTCCAATGTTTTAAATGTTACAAACAGATGCATTTGTCCAAAAGCACATAATATCACATATTATGTGCCTGAATTTATAAGTTGCTTAAAGATCTTATTTACAGAATCATGGTTTGGTGAACTATTAAGTCTCTTACATGAGTGGAAATTGTTTCTTAAACAATACATTTTCTTGTTCATATTCCAACCTCATCCTTACTACCCCGCCCCCCAAATTCAACATTGTCCCAGTAATCTTTGTGGGTTAAAACGTAAAAGGATGAGAATATACTATATAAATTCCCTATATTATCAACTCAAAGATCACCAAATGACTTGACCATTTACGTATGCCACGCCAAGTATTATGATCCAGGTATGCACATGTGAATAAATTCTAGTGCAGAATCTACTGAAAATAGCCAGTTACAATTTTCAAAACTTAAAAAGGTCCAAGGCAACCAACTTAAGAAGGCACTCATTTCTTCTTTTTCTGATGTTTACTCATCTCACTTTTTCCTATCTTTTATATCAAATAACAGTAAACATTCACACAAAAATCTGAACACCCATTCTCAGATCAATTTAGAATAATGTGGCTTCTGAGAATATTTCACTTGTTGTAGAAATCTTTTTACTTTATATAAATTAACAATTTTTAACAAAACTTTAAGAAATATTTCTCCTATTCACGTGTTAATATTTTTTAAAATTTCAATAATGAGATCAATACTTGAAACATTTTTTTTTGTACAATTCTTGAGGATAACTGAACTTAACAGTTATTCAAGCTTTAATACGCAGGGGTTAAAAAATAAATTTCTTTATCTCTTGTTTAAACTGGATTATACAATATTTGCAAAGAAAAAACAATTCATTTCAAAAACAGAAACAAGGAAGCATAAAGTAATCTGACAATATGCCATTTTCTTGTCAATCCTTCAGGATCAATCCTTCTTTAAGAAATAAATTTTTAAAAAAAAGAAATTCATTAAATATTTAAATTTTAATCAGTGCTGAAAATAAATTTTGCTTATGCTTACTTTGTTTCATTTCTGTCTTTCTAATCAAATGGTATTTGTATGGTAGACTATTCCAGACTCACTCAACAGCTGTTGCAAAATACCAAACTTGGTAATTAAGTCTGACAAGAAGCATACCTCTCAGCTTTGCAGATGAGAATGCTGGCAGTGGCTCTAGCCCATAACAATGTTCTCAGGACAAAAATAAAATTTAGTAACAATTTAGTTTGCAAGCAATGGAAAAGAAATTGAAGAACACTTCATTAGGTGGTAGGCATACACCACCCCTTACAAACAAGATCATAAACCACTTTTAACAAGGCTAGTACTACCCAGCTCCCGAACTGGATTCCCTACACATAACCTCTACAGCCCTGGGCTGTAACACAGGAGTGAAGAACATAAGCAAAAGGTAGACAGACCAAGGGGCAAAAAAAGGTGGAGGTCTGGGACTTGGCTATCTAAATACATTTAACAGTTTATTTTGTAAATTCTAAGTGGCTAGAGAACTGAAATTGTCTGAATGAAAATTATCCAATAAAATTTTCTAAAAAATGTTTTAGTAACCACATTTTAAAAAAGGTGAAATTAATACTTTTATTTAAATCTAGTGTATCCAAAATTCTGTCCTTTCAACATGTAATGAACAAATGGTGTTTACTATTGCTTTGTTTTTTAACTTTTAAGTAAAATTTCAACAACTGGTTTCTCGGCCCCATTTCAAGTACTGAACAGCCACAAGTGGGGCTTGTGGCATAGACCTAAACCAGTTTCCCTTCGTAGGTGAGACTCCCGCTGGGGGGGCCGGGGGGAGGGGGCATGGGATCCATCCAGGGGAGAGGGCAGTTGGATCCTGAATTATGAGCTGCAGTACTGAAGCTTTGCATTGCCAGGCAGGTGCTGAGTTGTTTTGTTTTGTTTGTTTGTTTCTGAAAAGGAGGTGGTAGGCCAACAAGTTTGGGAACCTCTGAGTCCTAAACAAAATAAATTCAGCTACTTCTCAAACTTTTTTGGTAAAAGGACTCTTTTCATTCAAATTATTGAGTAATATGAAGATATTTTCTTTATACAGGTCATCTTCCTTATATCATAACTTAAAACAAAAACCTTTATTAAGTCATTTAAAAATAAATAAATCGCCTTTTCAGGAAGATGGCGCCGAAGGTGAAGAAGGCAGCCCCGCCCCTCCCAAAACGGAAGCCAAAGCAAAGGTTTTAAAAGCCAAGAAGGCCGCGCTGAAAGGCGTCCACAGCCACACACACACACACACAAAGATCCATACATCACCCACCTTCGGTGGCCCAAGACCCTGAGACTAAGAAGGCGGCCCAAACACCCTACGAAGAGCACCCCCAAGGAGAAATAAGCCGGACCATTATGCCATCATCAAGTTCCCCTTGACCACAGTCTGCCATAAAGAAGATCGAAGAAAACCACACACTTGTGTTCACTGTGGATGTCAAAGCCAACACACCAGATCAAGCAGGCTGTTAAGAAGCTCTATGATCCTTGATCAGGTCTGAGGGTGAGAGGAAGGCACATGTTCCACTGGCTCCTGACTATGACGCTTTAGATGTTGCCAACAGAACTGGAATCATCTAAACTGAGCCCGGCTGGCTAATGCTAAATATAAACTTTTCCAATAAATAAATAAATAAATAAAAATCCCATTACTCATAAACATAAATAGCACTTTTATGAAAAACTACTTTTCTAAGACAAAAAAATGTGAA